GGGGCTTGTGGGAGGCAGGTTTGGAGATAAAAGGACAAATGCTGCCACGCCCCAGTCGCTGGAGTCAACGTCGTTCCTTCGTGGGTTCCTTGTTTTGGTACAACATTGCTTGATGATTAATCGTGATTTATGCCTGTTACACTTGGATAAGTGCTTTGGTGTTTCATGTAAACCTGATCCGTGGAAGACTGTGGAAGAAATGCAGTGCTTGTAAGAGTCTTTTGTTTTGCATTCTTGTCGGAGACTGGTATTTATGTTATTTCTGGATTTCTTGTATTTGCTTGTTTAATTCTGTCACCATTTGGTTCACCCATGAGGCCCCTATTTGGCCTAGGTCCCCTGTTCTGTCCCCCGCTTCATGGCTCGTTAACAAACGCAGGCAGGCAACTTAAAAGGAAGTCTTTCTTTATCAGTTTTCAGTTCAAACTGGCTTTGAGCCCAGAAATAACATAAATACAAGTCTCCGACAAGAATGCAAAACAAAAGACTCTTACAAGCACTGCATTTCTTCCACAGTCTTCCACGGATCAGGTTTACATGAAACACCAAAGCACTTATCCAAGTGTAACAGGCATAAATCACGATTAATAAGCAAGCAATGTTGTACAAACCAAGGCACGCATGAAGGAACGACGTTGACTCCAGCGACTGGGGCGTGGCAGCATCCATCCTTTTATCTCCAAACTTGTCTCCCACAAGCCCCAGCTGCATACTGAATCTTGTATCCTGAAAAAACTCACAGCAGAACTGCTGAGTCACAACACATATGTATGTATACACATATACATGTATACACACACATGTAAGACTGATATCATGTATATTAGATCATATGAATTATACCAAAATTAACAATTTTGTTTACAATATTATCAACAAAGATAGCAGCTGCATACATAATTGGGAGATATTCTTTACCATCACAGAACAAGTGAACAAGGAAAATATTTTAAATATTTAGGAATTATCTTCCTTAACATGAATTTGCAAAAGTAAAAGGCATTAGTGTATGCACAAAAAAGGGGCAATGCAATAGTTCAATGTGCCAGCCCCAGAAGCAATAAATGTGCCATTGCAACAGTAAAAAGCAAAAGCAAAAAGTGCAGTTTAGGACTTGAGACCATTAAAAGGAATTCAGAGTACATTTTAATAGCAGTATTTTAAACCCCTTGCTATGTTCCAAATGCACCTTTGCATCTCAAAATTTATCTTCCTTCTACAAAGATACATGCACAATCTTGCTGTTAACCGTATTGGTTAAAAACAAATTGCACAGAAATCTCTTTTTTCATTCATATGGACAAGTTCTATTCTTCTTGGAAGAAGAGCACAGATATGGCTTTACATTTTTGCAGTTTCTTCAGCTCAGTATCTGCTTCAACGGGGTTATGAAAAAGTGTATTTGAAGATAAAAGATCCTGAGTTTGACCCCAATTTACAAGACATTGTTCCTGCTATTATACAGTGGGCTGTGGAGAGACAGATTGCTCACAAGCTGCATTCAGTGTTATATTAGCTATGGCTCCAAAGAGGAAATAGTAATTTTGCTCAGTGCCTGTTTATAAGGATCAATAGAGTCAGTTTCATGTGTTTTTGTGAACTGTTTCACATACTAAACTTAGCATTCTTCATTAGCTGGCCAGGTGGACTGCCAAGGTGAGAAACATATGTATTTTCTGATAGCAGAAGGTTTCCTTGAAATATTTAAAAAGTTTTATTTGTTGATAAAATGTAATGGCTGCTCATCTTACCAGAGGATTACTCAAAGCACCAAAAAAAAGTTGCTAAGTTATTCTTAGTTGCAATTTCTGTAAGGACAATGTGGGTTTAATGCTGGAATTGTCAAATCAAACGACTACCTTGATTAAAGAAAAGAACATAAGTACTTTTGTTTCCGCATGGAAATTGATTCTGAACTCCGTGCTTGAAGTAGAAAAGAATGAAATTTGACTTTGGTTTTTACAGATTAGATTGATAGAGCTTTATAGAAATGACTTGTTCATACTATTATGGAAAAGCAAAACACTGTGATCTGTTGTTAATGCCTTATTCTACTGTAACAAAGAGAGTTGAAAGTATTATTATATGTGTTAGTTTGCTGTGTATCTTATATGTATTTCTATATGTTATATTATATTATAAATTTTACATATTTACATGTGTATATTTGTATCCTATAACAATCTTGGACAGTGAATAAAATTGCTAAACTAAATTAAACTACTTCCTGAATAAACCAAACTCCCAAGAAATTATTCTCAGCTTTTCTGTCGAATGGCTGCTTTTCAAACATTCTATTTTAATTGAAAGCAAGATAATCAATGCGCAGCAATAATTTTAATCAATTATATCTTTCAGTAAACTGTGCATGTTTTAAAATAGGTCATCCATAGTGTATTAAAAGAAGCTGCAGTTTAGGCAATCATAAACCATGTTATTAAATGGTGTGAAGAAGACTCCACTGATCTTTCTTTTAATTCAGAAAGAGCTAATGTTTTAAAATAAATAATTACTATTATATAAAAAGGAGAAGAAATACATATTCCACAGAACAATGAAATCACTGCAAAAACTCTGAACTTCTTTCATTAATTGATATTACAATATGCATACAATACTATAGAAATATTTACTTTTTTGTGCATTCATTCATTTCTAGACCATATTTATAAAGTCACCTAACTCACAGTGACTCTGGATGGCGTACAGGTTACAGGTTAAAAATTCACCCATTACTGTAAAATAGATCATAGATGGCAATAATAATGGACCAGACTTATCCTAAACATTACAATAACAACCCAACAAATAAAGAACAGAGGCCATGGTTCAACAGCAAAAGCAACTGACCTTTTTAGCACCATTTTGGTTTCTTGTTCTTATTTTTTTTAGTGTTTTTTATTTTATTTTGCCAAGCTGCAAACTGATTCTTGGAGAGGGCATGATTGCACACTGCCAACATAATTTGACTTAATTGCAAAATTTAGCCTCCTTAAGCATATACACAGTCAAAATAATAAATAGTTCCCCAAAGAGAAAGCAACCTACTTGGAAGACGTTGGAGAAATCCCTAAGATTGAAGTTGTAGTGAAATTTAATAGCTGTTGGGAGGAATGTGGCTGCTATTTTCAGGTGCAGAGCAAGAGCCAGATGTATTAACTGCTGGGATGACTTCTGTAAGGCTGCAGAGAAGTTCCCACATTTTAGATGCTGAGTTAGGATAGTACTGTAAATGGTGGAAAGAGCATCTGCCCCAGGAAATGAGAGAGCAAACACACAGAAGTGGCGCTGCAAAAACATAATATAAAAAACAAAACACAATCAGTAGGCATTATACATAAGAGAAAGGGTATACCTACTATGTATATTGTGGTCACATAACCACAATTCTGGCGTTTGGCAACTGTTGTACATTTACAACTATCCCACAGGTACATAATTGCCATTTGCAATCTTCCCAGTGAACTTCTGACAGGTAAAATGAATAAGAAGCTAGCAGAAGGTCACAAGTCATGGTCATATGATGTTCTTGCTTAATGACCACATGGGATGGACTTAACTGCACCTGAGACTGTGGGGGACTGCTGTCACTAAGTGAGCCAATCACAAAATTTTGCTTAATGACCATGTCATTTAGAGATGGCGTTGCAGTGATGAGGACTTTGCATTCATCACAAGGGTTAGAGTGAGGAAAACCCATGTGCTGCTGTCCGTGGTACTGAAATTCTTTTACCTTACTTTTCTCTTGAACTTTATAGTCATATCCCAATTGACCTAAATGGAAGGCACAGAGATATGGTTTACTGATGTATTAAAGCAATATAGAAAATAATGAATTAGTTCTATATAAAGGATGATCATTCCAGAAAACCACTAATTTCTGCCGGCCACTCCACCCTGTTCCTCTCCTATCAAGCCTTTAGTTTTGATTTGTGACAGATAAACTGTTCCATTCCTGGAGCTTCTCTTTGCTTGGGCATAATCTAACCAAGCATGAAAAAAATGAAGGTAATTAACAAAACCTGAAGTGTTCTAGATCAGCAAGCAATACCTGCAAACGTGGGTTGATAGTAAAGCTGCCTGCAGTGGGATTCATGCATGACACGTACTGCACATTCGTGATTTCCTTCAGGGACAGCTTGTTTCTGTCATACCTTTGCCAGAAAAAGAAAAAAGAATGCATCATTCTAATCACAGATTATTAGTGACAACAGCAGTGTGCCTGCCAAACATTGCCAAGTCTGAAGCAGCATGTTGGGGGGGGGGCACCAGGCACCTGCTGCATCCCAGCTGTTTTCAATTAATATTCCAACAGAGACTGTACAATTTGAGGGCAGGGGGGCTGGATGAGGTTAAAATTCACATATGTTTCCATTACATCAATGCATTCCATAATGATTGTGATTTCTCTAAAATCATGCATATCCATGATGAGACCAATTCTTTAAAGCCACAAGTTACATTCCATTCAAAAGGCAAAGCTGTTTAAGTGTTTAACTGTTTATTAAATTTATAGGCCACCCAATCCCGGAGGACTCCAGGCGGCTTACAGAAACAGAGATTAAGAGAAATTAAAAACAGATAAAACATGACAAATTTAAAAAGACACAACATACACCCAATCTAAGTGGGGTTGGACCTCAATCCAGAGGTCAACAGCCCCAGGCCTGCCGGAATAGCCAGGTCTTAATAGCTTTTCGGAAGGGCATGAGAGTGGGTAGGGTCCGGATCTCTGGGGGTAGCTCATTCCATAGGGCTGGAGCAGCAACAGAGAAGGCCCTACTCCGAGGCGTCGCCAGCCGGCATTGTCCAGCTGATGGCACCTGGAGAAGTCCCATCCTGTGCAATCTTATCGGTCTTAGGGAGGTGTGCGGCAGAAGACGGTCCCGAAGATATCTGGGTCCTAATCCATGTAGGGCTTTAAAGGTGATAACCAGCACCTTGAATCGTGCTCGGAGACCAATAGGAAGCCAGTGCAGCTCGCGGAGGATAGGTGCTAGGTACACCCAGTATCGCTCGTGCGGCTGCATTCTGGACTAATTGTAGTCTCCGAACACTTTTCAGGGGCAGCCCCATGTAGAGCGCATTACAGTAATCCAGTCTTGAGGTGACGAGGGCGTGAGTGACTGTTTGCAGTGCCTCCCGGTCCAAATAGGGCCACAACTGGTGCACTAGGTGAACCTGGGCAAAGGCCCCCCTGGTCACAGCCGACAGATGATGTTCCAACATCAGCTGCAGATACAGGAGGACCCCCAGGTTGCGGACCCTCTCTGAGGGGAGCAACTTTTTTTCTCCCAGGTTTAGGGACAGACTAGCTGGACTGTCCTTAGGAGGCAACATCCACAGCCACTCAGTCTTGTCAGGATTGAGTGCAAGCTTGTTCACTCCCATCCAGACCCTAACAGCTTCCAGGCACTGGCACATCACTTCCATCGCTACGCTGAGTTGGCACGGGGCGGACAAATACAGCTTTGTATCGTCTGCACACTGGTGGTATTTAATCCCGTGCCGGCGAATGATCTCACCCAGTGGCTTCATGTAGATATTAAATAGGAGGGGGGACAGGACCGACCCCTGCAGCACCCCATAACTAAGGGGCCTAGGAGTCGACCTCTGCTCGCCAACCAACACCGACTGCGACCTGTCGGAGAGGTAGGAGGAGAACCACCGTAAAACGGTGCCTCCCACTCCCACCTCCTCCAGCCGTCGCAGAAGGATACCATGGTCGATGGTATCGAAGGCCGCTGAGAGGTCAAGGAGCACTAGGAGAGAGGAATGTCCTCTATCCCTGGCCCGCCAGAGATCATTGGTCAGTGCGACCAAAGCGGTTTCGGTGCAGTAACCAGGCCTGAAACCAGACTGAAAAGGGTCTAGGGGTAGGAAGACTGGGGGAGGGGGAGCTAAAAAGAAGCCAATCCATACCAATAATAAAGGATGGATTGCACATTCTATAGGCTGCAGTGTTAAAATAAAAACAAGATGTTTTATTGGGAGTTTTGCGCTACATAAAGAACCTTTCCATGGGGATGTATGAATAATTCAGTCTTCATAAATGATACCGAAGAACCTGACTACATCTTTTGGATTAATGTACAGTTCAAACTTAACTAGAATATCCATCAGATTTTATTAATGTCCAAAGATTGTGATGTGATTCTTACTTGTGTAAGAAGAGGGGTAGAAAACAGACTGGAGCTATAAATAAACTCATATAACAGTGATTCAAATCAGAAGCAAAATCATCCATCCCAAACTTAGCCTAACTACTCTGAATATTTTGGTTTGTTTTTATGTTTGTTTGTTTATTTTTAATGTAGATTGGGTGGGAACAAAATAAAGTTCAGTATAAAGCCATGATCAAAAATGAATCAATTTATCCATCCCTAACCTACCAATGCCCATAATCTAGATGTTGCCGGATCAGTGTATGAGGCTGAACTGTTCCATAGGTATCAACTTCAGGCATATTCATATCATCAATGAAGTAGATGAGTTTCTTTGTTCCAGGGGGACCATAATTCCTTCCAGCCTTTTTTTCCAATGGCTTCTCAAGAACAGCTACGAGAAAACAAAGGCTCAGAATTTTTAGAAAGCAAATTCTTAATATAATCACTGACAGGCTGACAATCTACCTCAGCTATAAGGCACCTATGTCAATATAAATAAAAGAAAACCTATGCCAGTATCAAGCCTAGTGATGACTGGATCACGTCACATAATTTCTCACAAAGGAAGACTTTCAGCAGCAGAGAAGCCCATGAAAACAGAATCATAGATTAATAAAATAGTGGTTAATAGATTTCAACTATACACAAGAACTGCAGGAAATGCATCACAAATCTAAAGATCTCTAGTTATGATGCTTAACAACTTGGGAAATAACAAATACACTAGCAGCAGGTTAATAGGGATGTAGAGTGATCCATCAACCTTTTTTTATTAATGCATGGAGCAAATAAACTGGTTTCCTATCTTGTGAACACTGTCAAAAAATTAGAAAAACTGGCTATCTGTAATTTGGTGTCTTCAAATAGTCATCTATACATTCACAAGCATAAAGTTTGTATCTGCATAAATGCTTTTATCATGAACATTTCATAGCTAAAGATATTTTGGGCAGGAAGGGCACCCTACATTGTATGTCTAGAAGTCTTTGTCTCATTTTTCCTTCATTTCTAGAGGTCAATACAACAGTCATAAGAATGCAACATATCTACCCAAGACGGCATCTGCACAGAAGTGGGAAATGAATGCACAGATAACCAAATAACTAATTACAGGTAAACCACCTGTTGTTATTCTTCTATTTCTATAGCACACACACTGGTAATAAACGAGCTCATTTTACAATGGTGGAACCCTTCCTTTATGTCCAAAAGAACAAGATTACTCAAGCAAAGGAACTATTAAATCTAGCACAAACATAAACAGATGAGACCAAAGGCCACCCTACACAGAGTTGAAATGAGCAATCCCTGGAACAGAATTACTGATGTTGACATGTGACTTCATACTAATGTTGAAGGCAAGTGTTTAGCTAATGGATTGTAAAGGCTTCCTTTGATCACTTAGAAAATCACTGGGAGGAGCCTAACACCATAGCAATTTCAGCCAATTTGTTTGTTTATTCAGAGTGACTTAAGTTGCATTTAGAGCAGGGGTCCCCAACCCCCAGTCCATGGACCAGCACTAGGCCTCAGTAAGCAAGAAACTGAGCCATGCAAACAAGTGAAGCCCTATCTGCAGGATGCAGGCAACATGTGAAATCGCATCCCCTTCAGTCCATGGAAAAACCGCTCTTCACGGAACTGGTCCCTGATGCCTAAAAGGTTGGGGCTGCTGGTTTCTTCTTTTTTTCCCCTCTTCACCATTTAGAGATCTGTAAGAGGTCAGTGCAGGAAGACAGGGATCTTTGGCCAATGTAGAATTGTCTAAGCTAGATTCTTCTATTTGTATCTGGCATGACAGCTGTGTTAGTTTTTCCATAGAAGGTGACAAAGAACAAATGGAGACAGTTCCCCAGTTACTGACTGCAGCTGGTTCCACTGCTTAAGGGATCTTAAAAAGATGCAAGCAATTTCTCCTCATGTGTCCAGTGGATGTCTGAGAAGGGACACAAGTACTCCCAACCTCTCATTCTTCTAGAAATAATAACTAGAAAGATTGTCAACTAGTGGGAATTTACTACCAACTAGGTGTATGAGCATATCGTTATTATTCTAGCGAAATGAAAGAAATTCCTCTCCAAAAAGCAGAAAAATCAGTAACTGATACTGATAGAAATCAAACTAAGGAAAAAGAGAAGTCTTTAGCTTTGCTTTTTAGACATAGCTCACTATAACATATGTAGTGAGTTGAACAGCTGAAAAAAAATCTATATGTTCTCTATAGACATTGAGAAAAAGCAAACTTTTCTACCCATCAAAAGGTTGGAAGATTGCTAATACAAACTCTTTGCAGGATCAAATCCTATAAAGACATATAAACCCTAGAAAGACACTGGTGCAGGAGTTAAGGTCATTGGACTAGGATCATGGAGACATGTATTTATTATTTACCAAATTTATATGCCACTAATTTCACCAATGCAAGTCTACTCTTGGCCATGAAAACTCATGATTTTGGTCAAGTCATGTTGACCAAAACTACTAACTGGATATTGTGGCATGGAAAAATTGGAGGAGGAAATGTCATGTATACATTTTCCTTAATGGAGAAATAGAGGAAGGACCTGCCCTAATGGATCTAGCAGTTCAAAGAGGTGGTGGCAGGAAGTTTTACAATACAATAGCAGAGTTGGAAGGGACCTTGGAGGTCTTCTAGTCCAACCCCCTGCCTAGGCAGGAAACCCTATACCATTTCAGACAAATGGCTATCCAGCATCTTCTTAAAGTCTTCCAGTGTTGGGGCATTCAAAACTCCTGGAGGCAACTTCTGTTCCACTGATTAATTGTTCTGTCAGGAAATTTCTCCTCAGTT